CGCGCCCGCCGAGGGGCCCAGGCGCTGAGGGGGTAGAGCGGGGCCCGGCTCCTCCCGCGGCTTTCCCCGCCGGGCAGCCCGGGCTGGGCCGCGTGGGGCCGGTGTCGGGCCTGGCAGTGGGGCGAGGTGGCCGGTTCCTGTCACGGCCCGGCGCCCCGGGGGCAGCGGAGCTGCGTGCCGGAGCTTGGCGCCAAAGGTGCCCTGAGGAGAGGCGTCCTCGGCGGGAGGGGAGCGCGGCCCTCCTCTGCGGCGGCCCCCGCCCGGATTCCGCGACTTTCGCTTTGGATTCTGAATAAAGCATATGGTGCGGGCATCAACGTGGGATAAGATGTGTTAGTTCGGGCTGTTGTCTTTCTTCGCTCTGCTAGTAGTCAAAAGTAGTTTCTGAAAGTGAGGCTGAGAAATCCCCTGTAGGAAGTCACCGGCGCTTTGAGTTTTTAACTTAACAGCAGTTGTGTGTTGTCCTTCAACCTGCTTCCTAGGATAGCCTTTATTTAATGGCAAATGCTGCATCTTAAGAGTTAAACGTGCTAAAAGTTGTGAATGCACATCTTGGAGTACTTCAGCTTAATTATTTTTCTTAAATTATTCATGACTCTTGAAGTATTAGTAAGACTAAGTTTGGTTGAAGGGTTTATGCGCACAGGATACTTGTAATGTACCTAAATCTGCTGTGTAAGTAAGGTTAAGAGTATACACGGCAGAGCAGCATACATGTGGCGTAGGCTCTTGTTCGTGACCCACTTTCTTTCCTGAAAACAGTTTGTTTTCTAGTATGTTGGGGTTTTTGGTTTTTTTTGGCCTGTGTGCTAGACAGAAACTGTCAAGGAAGATTCCCCATAATAAAATGAATGCTTTAATTACAGAGGCTGATGATTTTTGTTTGAGCATATTTTCAAGTTTTCATCAGTCTGAAATGTACACTTAAGGCTGTAGTACAGTTCAAAGACTACATCACAAGCCCTTAGATTCTTCATGTCAGTCATAGCTGCCGTAATGTAAACTTTCTGGTATCTGCTGCCAAACTCACCTGTGAAAGCTTTAGCTTTTTGGCAGTGCCAATCCAAATCTTGGTTGGGGCAAATGGTTCACCCTTGTTGCGTAATAATGTTTTTAAGAGGTTGCATTTTGTTGCAGATAACGGCTAAGTCTGTGCTCTCCTTTTTAAGGACAAGACTTTTCTACCATCTGCATTATTTAATGGAGTTATGTTGATGATTGTTTCTAATTTAAATTAATACATGACCCTAATTGGAGGACAGAGCTGCATAAATGCATGCTTGACTATCTTAACCACTAAGCTATCCAACAATACATTTGCATTTCTGATCTGTCTTTTCAAATCAGTTATTTTTTTAATCTGATGCATATGTAGTCCAACATGAAGGCTGTGTTGCTGTTTAAACCAACCAAGAGAATTTAGTTACAAACACAGAAGAAAGCTGACAGCTTTTTATATGTTGATGTCATCATTATCGTGATAGAAGTGTGCATACTCTAAGCCTATGATATTTGTATTAAGATTTGAAGTATGCTGTGAAATCATTGTTAAAATACATTTGGAAGGGTATGATTCCCTTGGGAAACAATTCAGGAACTTTTTGAATTTATCCCATATAAATCACTATGATCACTATTAAATGATATATATGGTAAAGTCATACCAAAGTTCTAAGCACATGGAAATACACCTACATTTCATGCAGGCTTCCTGGTTTCTTTAAGAGCTACAAAACTGTAATTGAAATAAAAAAACTTTTTGAAGAATTGTTCTGAGAACAGTTCAGGTATTGAACCGTTATATCAGGATGTAAAAAAAATTAAAAATAGAGCAAGTTGATCTTATTTCAGTTCTAATAATGATCAGAACTTAGTGCTTGATTGAAGATTTAAATAGTTATTGCTAACTATTTGTACTCTGTACCTCAGAATACTTTTGACTGTGGTATAGATAGACATATAAAACTAGTTAGAAGCTGCTCTTCTAAATTTCAGATGATACTGTGCAGTGTTGAAATCAGTAGAATGGTAGCATTTCTGAAGATCACGTCTGAGGAAGGAGGTTGATTTTTTTTTTTTTCTTGAAATAATGGAAAGAAAATGACGTTCCAAAAAAGGCATTATTTTTTCCAGATGTAAGGGGTGTGAGAGATGATGTATCTCAAGCTATTTTCCAAGTGCAATTCAGCTGCACTTCACTTCAGTAGGGAGACCTGTTTAATTAGCATTTTATGGAACTTTTTGGGGTTTTTAGGAATGATTGTAAATCCTTATCATAGTTATGGTGCATATTGATTCAATTTACCTTCCAGTAAATTGCAGTGCTGCAGTCCATGCTCTTCTAGTGTAATTATGTCTCTTCTAGGCACATGTCTTGGTAGAAGTCCGCTGTCGGCTGTGAGGTCTCTGTGATAGCAGGTGTTCTGCAACGCCTCTTTTGTGCCTGTTGATTTTGACAAGCTGATGTTCACTGCATTGGTAGAAGGAGAATAGAGCTGGGTCCAGGATCCTTGGGGCAGGGTTCCAGTCTGAAGGTGCTGCTGTATTTCAAGCCAAACTTAATCTTCTGCAGGCTCTGCTGCGCTGTTGTCTGTAGGCTGTGGTGTGGGACCCCAGGCTTCCCAAGCTGCATGTTTTTCAGTTCCTCTCCCTCCCCACAGAGTCCATTTTGCACATAGTTCCACCTAAATTCTGGTCAAGTGCTGTTCCATACCCCTCTGGTAACAGCATGATGTTTGGAGTTATATAGAATGTATGAAAACTTCAAGGTGGATACAAAAAACAGTATGGTTTCCTGCTGAACAGAAGTAAAATAGCAATAATAATTTAATGTAAGTTTTAATTACTAGTTAATTGTACCATCTGGCTAATGCTACTGTACAGAATGCTTTGCAGTAATGAAATGTGGAAGTTCAGGGGGTGGTTAATGCAAAGAAGTCCAAACCCAGCTGAAGCTCTTCCCTATTTACTTGAATTGTAGACAAAACCCTCTGTTCACACAGTTGTGTAGGAGCTGTTAGAAGTCTGAAAACATACTCAGATTGCCATAAGAATAACTGTAATAGTCTCAAGACTTTATATCAGAGCCAGCAATGTATTTATTGTCTGAAAAGAATCCTCTTAAGAAGCACTATTCAGCTGTCAGGAGAGCCAAGCTGGATGGAAATGACACAGTTACTGAAGAGCACGCTCCAGCACAGTTCAGCAGGGACACTACACGGAGCAGAAACAGTACTTAACTAAGAGTGCTGCTTTGAAATGGAAATGTCATTTCAATTTTAAATATATTTTATTGTACTGTATACGGAACTTTGCTTTTGATAGTATCACTGTGCTGTTGTAGTGTGACTAACTGATCTCGAGAGCAGCTGAAGAATCTTTCGGAAAGGGAAGAAAGGGAAATTCTGATGCTTCTCAATATGTCCCAGTACCAGCAGTGGAAGGGTATGGAGGGAAGTGTGGGGTGTGTTGTTACTCAATGGTTTCCTGACCTTACAATACTGGTCCTTGGCATTGTCTGCCAAGTAGAAATCAGCTTTGGGTTGACTGCTCTTGAGAAATTTTGTTAATGCTAGAAAGTGACCAAGTGTACATGTGTTTTTTGTTGGAAAGGCCTCTTCGGTTGCTGTTGTTAGTGCATTAGTGACATGCAGTGCGATTTTTATTTTTGAGTTTGTGTGATTTCACTAGGTTTTTAACTTTCTTCCACTAGATGGCCCAAGCATGCTTTCAAGTACCCTATGAGAGCTGAAACTTCTAATTCCTTTTAAAAACATATTTGTGTTGTTTTAACTGAAGTTAAAATTCTGTCATGAGACCTGTGTGAACTTTTGTGATTTTTTTTTTAAAAATACAAACACTGTATATCAACCAAGAGACGAACTTTTGTGATTTTTTTTTTTTTAAAATACAAACACTGTATATCAACCAAGAGAGTGTTGGTTAATGTAATACGTGGCAATGAAGGTCATGTCATGTATGATCTTCCATGTCCCTCTTTTTTCCCTTGGTTAGAACATTTATTGAGTGTGGTCCAGTGCTGTTGTTTGCATTGAGATGAGAAGGGAGGTGCTGTCACTCTGACAGTGCGTTCAGCAGTAGTGGTTCAGCGAGACTCTGAAAAGCTGTCAATCTCGGGCTGGTTTGTCTTTAACATCTGCTGGGAAAAAGACTTGTGTTTTGCAGGCCACCATAATTGAATTTTTTTTACTGCTTGATTTTGCTGCGTAGGGTTTTGGTAAGAACTTCGCAGTTCATTTCATCAGCATAAATGTGGTAACTGGGTTCTGAATAGATGTAGTTGCTAAATGCACACACTGTAATTTAATTAGCCTACTTATGTTGTCTAACAGACATCATGTATAAGCTTGTTATCAAGGCTATGGTTTTGGCTGGTGAAGATGAAGACAGACAGGTATACAGACAAGGCAGCTCTTACCATGAGGGTTGGTCAGACACTGGCACAAGGCTGAAGGAGTGGTGGGATGTTCATCCACAGAGACATGCAGAACTCAACAGGACCGAGCCCTGTGCAGCCTGAGCCTGTTGGGCCAGCACTGACTGGGAAGTTCAGCTACGTGGCCTTGAGTGGTCCCCTTCAGCCTCAATTGTTCTGTAATTCCAAAAGGAGACTCCATTGGTTCCTTGTGTCTGCTGCTGTTTAAAACAAAAATAAATACAAGGAAAGTGAATTGTTGTCTTTCCGAAGCAGTTCCTAACTTCAGTATTAAGTTCCAGCCTTCCTTTCGCTTCTGAGGACCTTGACGTGGTGGTATTAGACCACCAGAAAGTGTGTGTGTCTGTCTGTGCTTTTTTCCTTCTTAAATTGCATTCCCCCACCTCTTCCCCAACAAAAAAAAGAAAAAAAGGCTGCCATATAAAAGGAGTGCTATATTCCTTCATTTCACAACTGTACTTGCCAAATGCCCTGTCTGTCCTATTACTGTTTTATATCATTACTCCTAGTGTCCCCCTTTAACAGGCATAGTAGATGTTCCCTTATTCCTGTTTCTCTTTTGCTCTTTTTCTTTATGGAAGAGAGTCAGCTGTTGTCCCTTCCTCTGCATCTGACTCTGTGCTCCTTTTTTCCTTCCTTTTCCCATTGTCAGTATTTGTCCTGTCCTACCACCTTCCTGCTTCTCTTCCTTTTTCTGGCTGGAGACAAATCAACATGTCCATATGTACTGGAAGGATGGACATAAATGGAATGTTATCCTGGTGAAGGGGATATTGCTGCCTGCAGTCAGTTCTGTAGACAAAGAGGTAATCTGCTCCCGTTCCTGGCCCTACTGATACGTGTTGGAGCTCTCCATTTGCAGTATTTCCTCTTCCTCTCTAATTTCTTCCAAAGTCAATAGCTTTCAGCTTATTGAGCAATATACCAAACAGATTTTGCCAGTTGAGCCAGGTGCAGAGAACTTTCTAAATATGTTGGTTTTGTGATAGAAGTGTATGTTTAAGAAAAGAGATAAAAGATGATCCTGTAGGGAATTCTTTTTGAACTGATGCACTCTATAACTTTGTGTAGGAAAGTTAACTGTGGCCAGTTATTGGTAACACAGGCTTTACTTTGCTTGTGACTGGAAATTAAACTGATGAAAGTAATTCCATTCCTAGCATCTCGGTGGTGAAAAACAGGTATAGGACTAAAAGATGAGATAATGTGGTGAGGTCAGGTTTTGTTTTAAACTTTTCTTTTTACTAAATGAATTTAATAGCAAGTATGAAATAGAGTGGGTTTTAAAGGATGTTATGCTAGGAATTCTTTGCTGCAGTGGAAACATTGTGTCAAACAGGTGTCATTTGTCTACATACAGTTGTGCGTACTTTTGCATGGAACGTTGCGTGTTGTAGAAGGGACATTATCTAAAGATGATGTGAAAAGGTTTTTAGCTACTGTCTCAATCATGCCTCAACCAAAATTTTGCACTAAACATCTGTTTGGTAACTGTAGACAGTTGAAGCAGGTAGTAATGTTTGTTTTCAGGCAGACATTTTAGTTCATATATCTGAGGCAAGTAATACAATAATACATGCCTGTTGCGTCGCTTTGTAGCTAGGAAGTGGAAATTATATTTTAGGGTGAACAAAATGAAGTGATAGTGATGGACAAAATGTCAGAAAGGTGTTGTTTCATTCTGTCTAGATGTGTACCTCTTAAATACATATAGGGAGTCTGGACAAGTGAATGTAATGCCTTTGGGTGTGTGACATAGCAGCCGTCGTGTAGTACCGTTTGAAAGCTGCACAAAGTTGCAGTATCAGGTGAGAGCTTCCAAACTGTTTTCTGCTGTAAGAAATGTGCATCCAGTTCAGTTTAAATTTAGTTTGATGTAACCATAGCAGCTGCAAAGTTACAGCATGGTAATACTGAAATCTATACCCCAGTGTTCATTCTGTTTGGCTGACAAAAGTAATTTTAAAATCAAACTGCTTATGGCAATCAGTAAAGCTTGTTCCTTGGCTAAAATACCAACTCCAGGTTTTGAATTTTTCAGAGTAGTTCAGAAATAATTTTTAAAATGACAGTGGCAATTGTATACTTAAAAGAGTGTTAATGTTACTATTTTTTCTTTATATTCCTTTTTGTTCTTCACTAGATGTCACTAGTAGATTTGGGAAAGAAACTTTTAGAAGCTGCACGAGCAGGTCAAGATGACGAAGTTCGCATTTTGATGGCAAATGGAGCACCTTTTACCACAGATTGGGTAATGAAAACTTTTGCAGTGTTCAGTAAATCCTCTTACTTTTCTCACCTGAAGAAGAAAATGGGATTATTACAATTAAGCATTTATATTGCCAGCCTTGGGAGTTTCTTCTTCGAATTCTGCAGCCACATCATCTAATGTCTAATTCAAAATTAAAATTGTCTGTTTCTTCACGTGACCTCCTACTGATTTTAGTAACACGCTGCAAATGAGCTTGTTCTGGTGGCTTTTAAGATGTACTTTGGAATGGTTAATGGGAGAAAGCAGCAATCATCCTCCTAGTTACTGTGTTTATGCATTTAGTATAGTAAGAGTTTTGAATTACGAAAGAAGTACCAACTACCTCATATGTGCAGTGGAGACTTCCCTGATACAGAGACTGTGAGTTGTCTTTGGAGGTGCCTATTTTATAATAGGTTGTTTAGGGAGGTCAGGTACCTAAAATTCTAGGGTATTTACAAGCCCTTAAGAGCCTTAGTCTGCTTAGTGACCTAACTTTCAAGTTGACTGTTTTGAGCAGGAGATTGGACTTAAATGACTTTCCAAGGTCCCTTCCAGTGACAGTATGGCGTGTTGACTAACACTAAAAATGGGGCTAGGCCCCTTGAAACATCACACCTCAAAAAAGACAGAAAAAGCAGAGCACAGACCTCAAAAAAATTGCTTCCAGTGAGCTGTTTTTAGTGTGGTGTGATTATTAGTAAAAATAAAAATAAAACTCAAAAAAATCTCAACTTCTTTTTTTCCTTCATACTCTAAAAGCCACAACAGCTTCTTTCTTTGAGACTGCAAGGGAAAATGATTTGAAGTGGTGACCTGACACCTGAGTTTGATAGCTCCAGAATAAGAAGAACTACTTTATACTGACATCTGTTAAAAGTCCACTTTTTCGGTTACTTTACAGTTGGGAACATCTCCACTTCATCTAGCAGCACAGTACGGACACTACTCAACAACAGAAGTGCTGCTGCGAGCGGGTGTAAGTCGGGATGCCAGAACCAAAGTGGACCGAACTCCGTTGCACATGGCAGCATCAGAAGGCCATGCCAGCATAGTAGAAGTCTTACTTAAGGTAAAGACTGCTGAAACAAGGTCTGAGGCGGGGATATTACAGTCGTTTGTGATCTAATATTTGCAGTTTCCTTTTAGTCATGAAACCAATGTTGAAATGATTTAAATATTTATGCTGTGTGCATTGGGTGCTTTGTTTTCCTATTAAACTGTAGTTTATTTTGCATTAAAATCATTATAATTTCAGGTGAATTATTTATTGCTGTTTCAAAATAAGACTGTTTCCTAATTTGACATTGTGTGAGTAACAGCGTTTAGAACCAAGACATGTTATGTTTTTAGGAGTCTTTAATCCTTTAAAGGTAAATAATTTATTTGGTAATTAGATTGAAGTACTTCTAATACATCTGTAAATGTGAGATAACAGGACATTACTGCTAGAGAAAGAATGAAGCCCAAAATTGTCTGTGAGCAGTGTTATTTAATTCAGCTACTTCTAATGACATAATTTATGCAATGATCTTATTTGTAGCACGGTGCTGATGTCAACGCGAAAGACATGCTTAAAATGACTGCACTTCACTGGGCTACTGAACATAACCACCAAGAAGTTGTGGAACTCTTAATCAAGTACGGAGCAGATGTTCATGCTCAGAGTAAATTTTGCAAAACGGCATTAGATATTGCAGTAGACAATGGAAATGAAGACCTTGCAGAAATATTACAGGTAACGTTTGATTCATGATGTTAAGGGAACTTAAAGCAAAGTACTTGTTCATACATGTGATAAACTAAGCTTTTAATATATAGCAGCTGTGAGAGCCTATATTCCTTGATGATATTCACTAGACTCCAGTCTAGTTTGTGACATGGAAATTGCATTAATGTTAATAAGCAATAGTTGGCCAAAGAGCATTTTCACCACATATAAAGTCAAGGATGAGTATCCTTTATTTTCTTAAATTTAAGTGTATGCAGAACTAGGTGGAATCTTCACAAGCAAGGTATAAAAACCATAACTCCCTACTCTGCCATATAGTCTGTTTTCACTATACCCGACTGTTTACTTAGCTTCATATGGGGATATTTCCTAACAGAATTGGACATGAGAGATGGCAGTTTCTCCTGAATTAGAAAAACTATGATTGAATTGTTGGAGAAATTATTTGGATTGGGATTATAATAGATACTTCTGTGGAAATGTGAGCTCACACTTCAGTAGTGGTCTTGAAGACAAATTAAGTGCTAAGCATTAATTATTGAGAAAAGAATAGAAAGCAAACCAAAAAATTCTGTTATACCACTGTATAAATCTGGTGTTCCCCTGCGTCTTGAACTGTGTGAACTTCTGGTCTGTTCCTTTAGCTTCCTCTTCATTACAAAAAGGCTATAGTAAATAAAAGTCAATAATCATTCAAAGACAGACAAAAAGAAGAATGTAATCTTCAATTCCTGGTAATTACTGTGCTGTCCAAGCCGATTTTCATGGCCTGTAGCTGCAACAGTAGTTTCAGTTCTTCAGGCCTCTGTTTTAGATACTTGAGCTTGCACATCTACAAAAGGGCCTTGTCTTTATATGTTCCTCTTTGTTTACAATAAACGGTATGGAGAAGTAGTGGTGTGTCATTATTCTCTTCCACTTCAACAGACCTTTTGTCTTCAGATTTCAGCTAAAAAAAATGCTTCTCATGTACTAATACCGAGCACGAGATATGACACAATGTGTGTATGTTGCATGAGTATAACGAGGGAGTTCGTCCCTGTTTAAGTGGAATGTGCAATAATTCTGGTTCTTACAAGGTAAATAACTTCTTTATACCTTCAATTGGAATTGAATATTATTACCTTTGTCTCCTAGATTGCAATGCAGAACCAAATCAACACGAATCCAGAGAGTCCGGACACTGTGACGATACACGCAGCAACACCGCAGTTCATCATTGGACCTGGAGGGGTGGTGAACCTAACAGGTCTGGTATCTTCTGCAAATACATCAAATGGAACAGGTATTTAGATGCCTATAGGATAGCTACTGGGATTTTATACTTTAATTGATTTTCACCATTTAGTGAAAAAGCTTGAGGAAAAACAGTGGTAAGAACAGAGTAGTTACCATGTTCCTCTTCAGTGTGTTTTATGTGTTATAAATATCTAGGTAATTTAAACAACAGTCTTCACAGAGATAAATTGTCAGAAGTTGTGTTTGCTTAACAAACTTCCCTTCAGAATAGCGCTTTGGTTTATCAGAACATTGCTGAGAACAGAGGGTGTGTGTTAGAAGTTTCAGTGGAATAATAATAAAAAAAGGACTTAATTGATTTAAAATTTATTGCCTAACTTTATTTTTGTCATTCTACTAGATGAAACAGGAGTGTCTGCTGTACAGTTTGGAAATTCATCGACGTCAGTATTAGCCACATTGGCAGCTTTAGCAGAAGCATCAGCTCCACTGTCTAATTCTTCAGAAACACCAGGTTAGAAAGCTAAGTCATTTAACCTCATTTAATAAACTGGAAGTATATAACTGGTGCTTCTGGAGATCTTTCGTTTTTTCAGCATGAAAATTCCTTTTTTCCGTATGAACAAAATTTTCCCTTTACTTTCACCTGGAAGGTTGCCAGATTAATTTGTACAATTATTTCTTAATAAGATTTCTGACTAGAACTGGTATTTCTGGGCCTAACGTGAGTAGCATTCATCTTGCTGAAAGCAAGCATAATTCAGGAGATTGAATTCCCATCTTTGTCTACATACGGTCTAGTTGCATTTGTGGGAGAATGTTTTCTTTGAATGCTTCTTCCTGTTAAATATTGGGAAATGGCCTCCAATGTAGTTTACATCTACCCTGTTAGCATTTTTCTTATTTTCTGCCAAAAGGCACAAGAATATTTGGGGATCTTGATGTCCAATTTGCCCATTAGAATGTCTGTGGGTATTCTTTTTAACATTGAGACATTCTACTTGCTTTTGTAACAATTTGTAGTGATGAGCATGTCCATACTGCGAGTGAAGTGGCTGGTTCAGAACCAGAACACAGTGCCTTTCATTACAGAAGAAGCTGCTGATATTTTCAGTCAGTTTATGTATTTAATTGAAACTCAGGTCTAATTGTAGGAGAGAGAAACTCGAGAAGAGATTGCATGGGATTACAGTGCATTAGATGTGTATCCAGGACTTTGGTAGCGAACCAAGTGTTCTCATGTTTCATGATCCTACCCTTGCAGTGGTGCAGCGTAACCCACCTCACATCTCAGTAAACCACTGAAGATAAAATTAGAGAAGAGGCAGGAAGGAATAAGCTTGAAGTCTTGATGCAGTAGCTTCACACCTCCAGTAATGCAGTGTGCATCATACCGACCCCTCCCTGTTGCTTTCTGTTCTGCTTTGATTTTTATACAGACATGCGGGCAGTCTTGCAGCATCTTACTGTCTGCAAATTATTTACTGGCTTATTTCTTTTTTAATAGTCTATAAAGTGTAAAAAAAATTAAAAAGCAGCTTTTTGTCACCTGTGCATCAGTAGTAAGTGTGTTCATGGAAAAAAAACCCAAACTAACAATAGCAAAGAACTTTCTGTTTGTGCTCATCTTGTAGAAGATCTGTAGTATCAAGAACTGTAGGATTGAGAATTCTGGTTTTGGCTCTTACCTTGTATTTATTTTCCTGGATTTAAGACTGTATAAACTTGTAAAAGGCAGAACTTAAGTTATTTGTCCATTGTTTCTTTCTAGATTTGTCTCCTTTTTCCAAGTTAACTTTACCCTGCTCTCCTCCCCCTAGTTCCTCATGTCTTACAGTTAAAAACACATCCGTTTTGTAAAACTGCAGAAAGTAAGATGCTTCTTACTGGAGCTGAATAGAATAATGCTTTTTATAATTGTTACTCAGTCACAGTGTATGTGAACACGTGGATGTTATGTACAAACATGGTGCATAATGTATGTATGAAACTTGGATTAGAGAAAAATGTGATGTGAGATGTGTCTTTGGAACACAGTATTTGGTACGCTGATGTTGGAATTGGGCATGTGTCTTACTGCGCGTGCAGGTGTTCTTTTCCCACACACACTGCAGAATACTGCACATTAGTACAGTGATTCTTGACAATAATAGGGATATTTTAAATGACTTCAGCTTTCCTTCAGCATATGAAGTAGTGCGGTAACTAGTGATTATATGGATATATATGGAAGGAGAGCAAGGAAGGAAGAAGGCCTTTATTTATGGGGATAGCTTTCTTTTATATAGAATAGCTTCTTTTTTAGACAAAATCTCCACTTTCAAGGTCTGAAGAAATCCTAGTTAATGTTTCCTTCCAGAACTGAAAGCCCAGTGCTGAGTTTGAAACTGAAAGATCAGAGCTGTTTGCCACAGCAGCTAGTATTGGCACTTGCAACTTGAAATTTTTTGTGAGAGTGGTCTTTCTTACTGCTGAGCCCGTACTTGGAAGGCAAATCAAGTTCAGTACAACACCACTTATTCATGGAGGACTTAGTGTTTTGGGTTACTGAATAAACACTCTGTGAATATTTAAGCAGTGCTATAGGACAGTAATCTCCAAGCATAAAGATCTTCAGAAGGCAGTGACTGCAGTCATTATTTGAACTACAGAGTGATTTTTGTGTGTGTGTTATATTGTAATTAACTTAAAAGATGAAAGCTTCGGGGTTTTATCTACCTTCTGTCATCTTGAGCATCACAACACAGTCTATAGGGTTTTAATTTCATCTCTGTAGATAGAAAGCACTCTGATGTCTGTTGTTTAAATCAAAGGCTTTGCTTTTACCCTGGCAAATTGAAAATAAAATACAGAATTAGTGTGCTTGAAATTCTTTGATTGTGCTACTAGTAATCTTGCTCTTTGTCTCAGTATCTTGTTTTAAAAAATAAGGGTGGTAGTATGAGACCCCAGTTATTTTGTATAGTGCAAGCTGTGGTATGTGTTGTAGTTCTGAATGTGGCCTTTCCCTTATCTTACCTTGATTTATGGATGTAATATAGAACTGTGAGAGTTCACAGCTGTATACTCAGATCATAAATTTGAAATATTGTGCTGAGGTATATATGTACAATGTTTATTTTACTTTTTAAGCTTTATTTTTCTCCTTCAAGCATATAAAATGTCAACTCTGCAGAACTTTTTAGTCCTGTTTCATACTTTGTATAATAAATTAAGTTGGGGTTGTGTCTGATGTACCCACTTAGTACAGAGAAAACTTTAGGATTCTCTAGAATCTCCTTCAGTCTATTACTGTTTTGAAGACCATTACGGCAAACAGAATTTTGTTTATCGGGCTGGGTCCTGAGGTACACCTGGCAAGGCACTAGTTGAGGAATGGTTTCAAGCTAGTATGTCAAGTTTGTTTTGTTTTGTTTTTTTTTAATTCCACTGTTAGTGTGACTTATTCCAGCTTGTGTACAATAAAAAAGTTATTTGTGTTCTTAGAAACACCTCTTGTTCTTACTGCCATGTAAACACTGAACCCAAAGCATCAGTTTTGAGTAGAGTGTATCTATTACAAAACTTGATAAATAAAAAAAAATAATTACATTGAGCAAGGTAAATGAGGAGAGAGTTGCATGCATGTTTGAAACTCTTGGTGCTTTTTGTAGGCCCGTTGACAAATTTCTAATAACAGTATAATATGTAGCAATGCATTAATTTGGGGGTGGGGACAATCAAATTTTAAGACATGAAAGGATTTTTTTTCTCAGCTGTACCAAAATGTATTTGAAATCGTAAAGCTTAGTTTATAAATTGACTTAATTCCTTTACTAATGTGTTGATAGTTGTGGCCACGGAAGAAGTTGTGACTGCAGAATCTGTGGATGGTGCTATTCAGCAAGTTGTCAGTTCTGGAGGTCAGCAAGTTATTACTATAGTTACAGACGGCATTCAGCTGGGCAACCTGCATTCCATCCCCACCAGTGGGATAGGGCAGCCAATCATTGTGACCATGCCAGATGGACAGCAAGGTGAGTGGACACTTGTATGGTTCAAGCTTACATGGCTACTGTAGTTATAGTGATGATAGTAAATAGCTGGGTGCAAATAACTTGGGCAATTTAGTGTAATTATCAATTTAAATACAGCTTTTAATTCTTGTACTGCAAAAGGCTCAGACACGTGAGCTGCTGCAGTTCTGTGAGTTACCATGTTAGCTGAGCCTCGGCGTTAGGAGAAAGAACAGAAGAATTACTAAACTGTACGGAAGAGAAATAGGACATTTAAGGGAAAAGTGATAATTACTTTCTTTGCCTTCAGTAAGTTTGATTATTGCGGACTTGTTACGAAATCTAGAAGATGGAGTAAAACAGAAGCATCCTTCCAATATTTATGCAGTTGCGCTGCTGGAAATAGTGTGGGGAGGTGAGGCTTGGATTTAGAGATGTGATGCGTGAAGCAAGCTGTGCGAGTCCCATGGACTTGTTCTTCACAGAACAAAAGCTGAGTCTTACGTGCTTGAGGTTTTAGAGGAGCAGTGGCAGAACTAGTGAAGCCAGGGTGACACAAATTGTCCTGCTGTCTTCTAGGTACTTTGTTTGTGGAAGCTGCTAGTATAGTAAGTGCTATTTTGTGACGTGTGTGTTTTAGGTGATTTTTAAAGATGCTTTGCCGCTACTATTTAGACAAAAGTGATTCTTTCCCTGGTTTCTTCATGAGGACTCCCAGTGTGGAGCTTGAAGAGTTGTACACCAGAGACAAGTGATTCAGTTCACAGTCTGTCTGAGCAAGTACAGCTAGTTATCAGAAAGCATGAACGTGTGTAGGTAGTCATTGAAGTGACAATTATGTTTCTTTGCCAGATGGTTGCATCAGAAAATTAGGGTGTGAACTTCTTTAGATCCCTGTTGTTTTTTCCTTCAAGGTTAATAACTATGGGATTTTCACGTTACCTAAGGTGTTCTAATTAATCAAAATCAGAAGCCTGTTTTGTATTTAGTATTTGCTTAAGAAACATTATAAAGGAGATAGTCTGCTACAGTTACAGAATTGACAGACTGGTAACTGCTGCAGTTCACTTCCATTGTCTGCTCACTCTGTGAAAAACGGCAGCGATACTCCAGAGTGACAGCTAAGTATTGTAGATCTCAGGAACAGAATTTGAGAATTCTTTAGCAGCATGCAAGCAGCTAAAGTTTTTAGTAAATTTTCCCTGTAATGACTTTATAATGCACTTTATTATAGACTTGTGTTTTCATAAGGGAAAGTCTTTGCATTTTATTGCTGTTAATAAAATTACTTAATTATATGAATTTTATATAGCACAAATATTGCTTCAAATAAATGTATTTAGATGTATGAATATGTTTTCAGTATTAACAGTTCCAGCAACAGACATTGCTGAAGAAACTGTGATAAGCGAAGAACCACCAGTGAAGAGACAGTGCATTGAGATTGTTGAAAACCGTGTGGAGTCTGCAGAAATAGAAGTAAGGAGTATATTACGTGATGTGTGTTAACCAGATTGTTCAGCACTGAGTATTTGGTTGTGATTTTTTTTGTGCCATTCTAGAGTTTAATTTCTGTGTTACAGAGAGTGAAGTGTGTGAAACAATAACTTGTTCAGTCTCCCCTGTTACAGGAATTAATCTTTTACAGAGTTGTAAAAAGACTATCGGAGAGCTGTTCGCTTCATCCTCTGGTTGTGCACATAAAAGTGACACTTGTTTAAGTATTTGATAACTTAATTTTTTTGTTTTTCTTTTAAGATCAGTAGCTAGTTTTTAAAACTAGGTACCCATATGTTATCAAGTAACTCGACTCTTCTGCGCTGGCAGTGAATGAGAGTACTGTACCCTCATCTTTCTGTTATAACCACATGCTTGTCCTGATTGTGAGATCAGAATTTTAGCAGTGTTTCCTTTCCATTCATGATATCTAGATAACTGTAATGGAAATGTGAGACAGTAAGATTCTGTGTTTGCAATTTTTATCTGCTCCGGCCCTCTCCCTTCCCCCCTCCCCTTTTTTTTTTTTTTAATTTCTGGAGCAGTTTACTATTACACATCTTTGCACCATCTTGGTTGTTTTGGTTTTTGTGTTTGTTTTTTGTTTTTTTTTTTAAATTATAGTGCAGAAGACCTAACAAGATTCAGAGAGCTCTTCTTTTTATATATGACAAATAGATGTAGCTATTCAATTTAAAATTGTAGCTTTTTTATATTAGCCACCATAGGTCAACCATCTCATTCCTTCTTCTGTTACTTCTAACTGTACTCATCAGTTTTGGTCAAAAGTTTGTGAAAATTGCTGTCTGCCTTGACTAGGCTGTAAGCTTTCATTTTGTCAACTCCATGATGCTTCATTTATCAAAGGTTGTATTCTCCAGTTCATATTATTGAATTGTGCCTAATTGAATACTTTTTATTGTACAGTATGTGCTATATGTTATCCATATCTAATAACAATAATTACCACCTTTCATCACTTGCTTTCCCTGTCCCTAAGTTGTCACATCAAATATTTTTGGCCTTTGCACCTTTGTGGTCATTACAGATTATCATGACAGTTGCAATTTTGTTGCTGCATTTTTTTAAAATGTATAAATGTTACAATAAAAGCATTTCTTTTCTTCACACTTTTAAACATCTGCCTGAATTATTCATAAAGGAAATTACATTTCCTTAAGTATTTTAATAATTCTGTTAGGCGAAGGAAAAAGTATCTAGATTCGTTAAGGAATTAATTGACCTGTTCCTAATTACAGATAGTTGGTATAACAGTACAAACCGGAATTACCGGTTTCAATTATGTATTTCAAACATGTTTCTCAAATATTGAAGGAAGTTGATTTTGATGAGTTACTGTCTGTTACTCTTAAGTACAAGTTTTGACGACTTTGTCCCTGCCTGTACAACTGGAAATGCTCCTGCAGACTCTGCCTCTGCATTGGGGGCCAGGTTATTGCAGGAGCCTTATTGTGGTTCACAGGAGTATGGTGCTACCTCACTTCGGTAACAGGGACATTAAAGAAGTGCACATAAAGTCAGTTCACTTCAAACTTCATCACAGAAGGTGGTGTAGATACTTGAATTTGGAGGGAGAGGGACCCCTCCTCTTGTTAAAATACTTTTTTAATGTACAAAACTTTTATTGTTTGGTTTCTTTGGTGATTCATTCCTTTATTTCATTATAAAGAGTTGATTCCAGGCTAAGAGTGCTTTCTTCATTTTTTTTTAAATTCCTAGTGCATGAACAGTTAACTGTAGTTTTAAAGTCTTTACTTGGAACATCCTCCCATTTATGTGAGGTGACAAACTTTCCTGTGAAAGTATTGTGAAATGACTAAAGCTATAGTGGTGGTCTTCAATTTTTCTCTTTTTTAAGTCTGTTAAGTTCAAACATTTCAACTCATTTTGAAGAGTGATAGTTTTCCTAAATGCCTTGATACTTTAAACGTGAGATGGCAGCAAAAAAACCACTGTCACACAGATACTCTGTTTTTCATTTTTATGCATAATTCATTAACATACAGTGATTTTTATTTTCATTCTTGAATTTGACTGTCTTTCCCATGTTGCATGTTTGAAAGGTGACACGCATTAGAACCAGGACAATGATTTCATTAGACTAAAAATCATAATTGTAAAGCAGTTATATTAGTGATTTCCTATCCATGCTTTTTTTGTCGTTAAAGAGAATGCTTGGTTTGGTTATTTTAGTTATGGGTGTCCCTATTGTCCAGACATAGACTGTTAAGAAAAGTTACACGTAATGAAGAAAATACCCTGATAAAATGGAAGATTTCTTAGGAGCACTCAGAATCCTCTAATTTGATTTTTACCTGGGTAGGTTTTTATACTGATACAAAAGGACTTCAGATAATGAGAACGCTTCAGGTTGTGTTCTAAAGAATGCCCTAAGAACACTTCCTGGATTTGATGAAGTTAATAGACCAGATGTAGTCCTTCCTATTCTAGATGTCAAAGTTAAGGAAGCAATTTCCATTGTTCAGTCCACTCTAGATCTGCAATGCTCCTCCAGAAGCACTGTTGTCTTTCCACTGCCTCATTAGAGGTATACTTGGCCTCAGTTCCCTAATATTCTGTTTGTGTTAGGTCTGTGTCTAAAAACTACAGCTATTAGCTGCTGGACTAACCCGCATGCTTTGAATTGCTAGTCTGTCTGGTGGATACTGGTTTTATCTTCTTGTCTCTGCCACTGAGACTTTTTCCCCCCCTTTTTTTCTCTCCCTTCCTTAACGTGCTGTCCTCCTTGTGGGTACATGGCTCTATTTCTCTCTTCTGTGGGAAATACTCCTAAGTCTGCACATGCTCTGTGGTGGTGATAGCACCTTGCTTTTTGTAATGCACCACAGAACCACTGGCCAGTGAGCTACTGGTTGTTCTTACTCTTCTGCAGCACAGTAGATAGAGCAGCTTTGCTTCTTGCCAGTAGAAGATCTCTGATGTTTTTTATGTGACAAATTCATGATGTAGATAATAGATAATGCCCTGCTCAGTGTATTCCAGACCTGAGTGCCCTCAAGAGGGAGGGGTTGCTTTCCACATGTAGCAGGATGACCTGTTTTTGACTGCTTCCCTGAGGAACTGTCTTGTAGCTCTTTTCACCAGCTTTCTACTCCGTGAGGCTGTTTTACATAAGCTGTTGTCTCCCCTTAAACTATATAGATAACTTACAGAACTAAATAATTGGTGTATTCCAGATCCTTTGAGATCTACAATCTACCCTTCATTTGGCATTTGTCAGTCTACTTTGCTACATGGCTTGGCCAGTCATAAAGTTGCTTAAAAAACCAGAATGCAAATGTTCAGCAGTGGAAGCTGAACTTACTTTTCAAATAAGTAAGCAAGATCATATAAACTTTCATTTTATTAGCATGGGCTCCAAGTGAACCAAACTCTAGCTTGCTTCCTTCGGCTCTTAAAGCCCCATGTAAAATCAGGTTGCACTTAATGGAGTTTGCTCTGTTCTGTGTTATAGCCAGTCTTTAGAACCTGTTAATAACATCTCTCCTTCACCTGTTGTTTTTGCTGTACAGATGCTGCTGTTAGCAATGATCTCATCACCTATGTCATTATATTCCAGCACATTCAGCACAGCATGTGACAGCTAAATGTGGCTGTGACAAGTACTGAGAACAGTAGCAAGTAGAAGGGAGGCAGAGTATTTGGTGGTATTTTCAGGCTCTGACCATGAAAATATGTGAGTGCATCAAAGAGGTGAAGAATAAGGATGCTGTTATGGGGGTGTGCGGGGAGAAACCTCTAACCACTGTGTGAGGCATTAAATGGGAACGTGATACTGAGCTGCTGGGATGGGAATAAGGTGAAAAGGCAACTTGTCTTCACTGGGCCTCAGTTTTTGATAAGAGTTTTGTTTTTCTGGGAGATGGCTTGCTTCTCCGACAACCTCCCTCCTGTGGCTATTTAACATCTACAGTGGAAAGAATGATTTGAAATCAAATACCTTACTCATAAAAGTATGATGCACTTTAATGAAGTGGTATTTGGTTGAAGATCAAAACAAAACTATTTTCCAAGCAAATTGCTTTTTCAATTGGGCTCAGTGCAGCATCAAACAAAATTGACAGTACCTATGTCACCGGAGATAGAAATGCATTCTCCTGAGTTCCTGAGGCAGCTTCATAGGAAGTGGCATTTCCTGTATTATTTTGCTTGGAAACCATTTCATAGCCATTCCCAACAAACTTGTATACAAGATGAAGCCTTGAGTTACTCCTTTTGAACTGAAAAAGGTTACCTAGCTAAATGCCTGTTAATTCATAGAAATGTGGTGTCCTTGGGGCTGTAATTATACCTCTGGATTGTATAATATCAATCACCTCAGATCGCTCCATTTATAAATCAGTTATGTGTATATTTCTGTTAGTGGGCAGCTGTCACTTCCCAGTGCAAATTGCCGTTAGGTAACAGGTTTTGATCATACTGTCTGATTAGAAATAAAACAGAAAGGGACAATCCTGTTAGATTGGATTCGATCCTATTAGAAGTTGATTTAAAAAAGAAAAAAAAAGGGAGTTAAATCATTAGAGATACGTTAATATATTACGTTAGTATTTGATCACCATGCTTCTGCTTTTTGATTTCACTCTTTTTCCTTGAGGAATTGTTTGGTGTCTTTGCAGCCAAAGAAACTTGAGTTTACTATATTTACACTTCAAGCCTTATTGTGGGGGGCTGCCTGGTGTGAGAGTTCATATCTAATTGACACAGCAGCATTCATAGGTGTTTGCCTGAGTAAGAAGTGACCAGTTTCTACACGATACCCTAACCCTTGAACTGCATGTAAAGAGTATTTGCAAAGTATTTGCCATTTTAACTTGTATTTGATACCTATTTGACAAAATATTGCTGGTTCTGTTTCTAATAGGAAAGAGAAACTCTTCAGAAACAACTGGATGAGGCAAACAGAGAAGCACAAAAATATCGCCAGCAGCTTCTAAAGAAAGAACAAGAAGCAGAGGCTTATCGGCAGAAGTTAGAGGCAATGAACCGCCTCCAGACTAATAAAGAAGCTGTTTAATAAAAAATGAACGTACCGCAAAGCCTGTTACTTTCAAAACCCTGCAGTACAATCTTGAACTGTACGCTATATAGGTACAGACACAGGATTACACCATAGAGAAGATGCTACAAGTTGATAACTGGACTTAAGCCGTGAGCTCTGATGAATTTCTTGTAACATAAAAACTCTGAATTTAGAAATTGTGAAAAGTATTTAAAATGAAATACTGTAAATAGTTGTTTTTTTTACAGTTTCAAAATGAGTTGATAAATCTTTTTGAAGGGATCCAGAAACATGAGAAGCCAATGTTTTTGTGAAATTTTTGATTTTAGTATGAATCTAACTTCTGAAAAACAGAACAGTTTTAAGGGTGATGTTGTTGATTTAAGCTGACAACTTGAAAATGAATTATGTGACAAAATGAATTAACAGTTATTTCTATGTGGTAACAACTTAAACTTCTCTGAATAAGACATTTCCAGGTGGAAATCTTTGTACAGCTTTAAGTAGTTGTCTCAGATTCTCTGAAAACCATTTTTGGTTTGGTTTTTTTTTTTATTTTAGGCGGTGAAATTTTTATATTTAATTTCAGATATATCCAAGTAGATTTACATGTATATGAAGCTAATATTTTTTAAACTTTTCAGTTTGTACATATGCTGCATGTTTTTATAATTTCTACACATACATCTTGCATAGGTATTTTTCAGCAAAGATGAGAAAAATTATGAGAAAAATGTTTAGTCTATAGGTCATTTGAAGTAAGCCTGCAGCCAGTTTTATTGTGGATGGTATATTTCTTGGAGGAATGTAACTTGTAATTAAAAGGAACAAAAAATATCTTGATTTGCATATTAGGGGCAATTTAAAATTTGGTAGTGGAGGCACTGAAACTTCACTTTGTGTGTCTTACAGTTTTCCTGTACAAAAGTTTTAAAGTTCAGGAACAAATAAGGAAGAATGTCTCCGCTGGAACACAAATTATAGTTCTTTTAGAATTTTCCTATTGATCTCTTTCCCCCAACAGCCTTGAAATTATTTCAGTGATACATTTTTTCTAAACAGACTTTTGCATTTTAATTATGCAATTGGACAAGTTTTTATGTTGTAGTGATGCTCTTCTTACCCGGCATCATTGTTCTTCACTGTGATACTGTGTTTGTGTGTGTCTGTGCAGTGATCTATTATGCTTAGGATTTATATAGCACGTTACATCTTCAGAACATTGTAAAAATCTTTTAAAGAACCCTTACTGTACTGCCTGAGGCAGGTAAGTGAGTGTTACTGTCTCAATTTTATAACTGGTATAAGCGCAACACAGGGCGTGTTAAATGACTGGCCCAAGACCACGAGACTCTGTGGTGGACCTGGGAATGGATCTCAGGAGCTTCTGGCTTCTAGTCCTGTGCTTAGACTGAGCTGCCTTAAGATTGTTCAGTGCTGTGTTACATTAAATTTTGAACTACTGTGCAGATTCCTTTTTTTGTAAGCTAAAACTCTTTGTGCTTTGCTTTGTTGTTCCATGTTTCACTGCTTTTATGGAATTGTTTATATAAACTTAAGCAAAAAGTCTAGTTTACCTATACTGTACACACAAGAATTACCCTTAAAACTGTACTCTGGCCTACTTTTTCTATTTTACAATTAAATATCTTTTCCACATATATATAGTGTAGAATCAATTCTGTTTCAGTTGTTTTGCATGTGCATTAGAAGGTCAAAGCTGTGCGGTGTTAGGTGATCAGAAAAATATGGAAAAAACAGTTTCCGCTTTAGAATGGCCTTCAAAGGCAGGAGGGAGGTGTGAGGAAAGAAAGGCATTGTACAATATGGAGTAAAATCTTCTTTCTTCAAACTTGGACTTGAGTTTTTAGAATTGACAGGAAAAAATCCTATCTATCATATTGGTATAAATTTGGCAAATTTGATCCCGATCGGCAAATTTGACCCCAAAATAATGGGAAAAGCTATGGTGGTGGTTTTTAGAAGAATTATTTTCTAAGATCTAATAGTGCTCAGCTGGTACTAGGACTTGAAGCAAGCCTTGTGCAGTGACTAATTGGAAATTGCTATATTTTAGGTTTGGGTTTTGTTCAGAAACTCTCCATGATGTCACTAGTGAATGCAGGAACCAGTCAGTCAAGTTCGATGTGCTGGTCAGGCATCGCTCCAACTGAATTATTCTGTGATCAGAATAACGTTTGTGTCCTCACATCCCACAGACTTAACTACAGCTCAATCTCTGTGAACTCTCAATACCGATAAGAATGTCAGCGTTGGGCTGAGCAGTGATAGTGGTCACGGTCCTGTCCAAATGGAGCATTTCCCACGGGTTTGACGGCACGGACCTTTGTAGCGAATAATGAAAAGAACCTTTTCTATTCATTCTGCTTCCTGTGAGCAAATATTCTGTTCCGCATTGTCTGTAACAAAATCCTTCCCAGAGCAGGGTAACTATAACAAAATTTTATTTATCACCAGCAATATTTACCCTGCCTGTAATTCATTCTCACTTGTCATATTCTAGTTCCGAACAGGCCCTGCTGTTTGTTCTCTTCTGCACAGAATGAGAAACCAACCTGATGAAACTATCACCTCTGAGCAGAGGTGTAGGGTGTGTGTCACATGGAACATGTATTGTGTGGTTTAGCTATGAAAACATTATTAAAAGTATTGCTCCTTATTTGCTGTTCCACATTGAAATAGCAAATGTAATTAGCTACCAGCTCTCTTTGAGCAGACGTCCATATATTAAAGTAATAGTTACTTGTAATGAGCTAGAATCACAGCTTTTTGGAAACTCGGCTCTTTTTGAGTTGGTCCTGTGCTTGATGCCAGCCCTGTCTCAAACTTCTTTGTTCCTTTATGGTGGCATTTACAGTAAAGCAGAGAGAGGTTCATAAGTTGATATTAAATGTGTAGGCAGCTTATTATTTTTTTCCTAATGTTTCCAGAGAAATGTGAGAAAGCAGATGAATATGTGTATGGTATGGGGGTTTTGTGCACTTCTTGCACTTACTCCTTCAATGATTTTTTATCTTTTTTTTTTGTTTCAGTGTATTAATCTGATGTGTGTATCAGAGCATCTTTGTCATATCTATGAAGCAGTTCTTTCTCAAGTATCTAATCGCAGCAGTTCCTTCAATGATTAATCTTTTTTTTTTGTTTCAGTGTATTAATCTGATGTGTGTGTATCGGAGCATCTTTGTCATATCTATGAAACAGTTCTTTCTCAAGTATCTAATCGCAGCAGAAACTTGGAAAGGTTTTCACACTGTTCTGTAGAAAGTATGCTGTGGAGAAAGATGTAACAACTTGCTGGAATAATGGAAGCGTTGAGGGTGCATTACAGTACGAGGCAGAAAACCACAGCTGCTCTGACAGCCAGTGCTCTTCTGCATGATGAGAACAGAGAACTGCTGTCATGTATGGGATGGAGGGTCTGCTCAGCCTGGTCTCCTGTGTCCAGCAGCCCTAAGCAGGATCCTAGGGTATAGCAAAAATAGGGCAAGCATATATTGTACTTTGTAATAATTTCTCTTTCTGGTGCTTCATCCATAAGCTCCCCCCCTCTCTCTTTTCCCAGGGCTGCCTGGTATCAGTGTAGAACGAGTGAGTTCCTCCTGGTGAAGATGATAAGAGTTAACACTGAGTACAGTGTCAGAGGTCGTGCTTCCAAAGACAGGTCAGGATGTGTTTTCAGGTCCTAGAACTGGAGCAAGGGGGAGTCTACATGGCTGTTCTTCCGAACTGAGAACAATCCGGGTGGAGGACTGGGAGGAATTCTTGGAGATACAAGGACAAAGCCCAGTGCTTATGCATATCATATGTGAGAAAAGCAAGTGTATTAGAGGAAAAAGATGTGTTTTCTGACATCTAGGGTTATACAAGTGGAGCAACATCACCCTTCAGTGTAATGTGGTCTGGTCTGGAAAGGCAGGACATCCACAGAGAGGGACATTGCTGCTTTTTATTGCAGTTCTGGAACTGGCAATAGTTGTAATCCTTTCCTTCTAGCAGCAAGGGACTGGCAGCATGAGGCACTGAAGACTTGTGGGAGTGATGATATACTCTCTTCTTGGGAAAACTCAGTCCTGCAATTCCTTAAAAAAGCCAATAATAATAAAATCCCCACCTGCAGTGCCAAATTTATTATGTGCTGATGCCTTGTTTTAATGGCACTTTCTAGCTCTGGTCTCGGTGTGCTAGTGTAACGTGGCTGATCTTACTTGGTGTTGGAAACTTTTGAGCTTTTTCTCTCCCACAAGTTTGATGTTAATGTCTTATATTCATGACAATGAATTACTGTGAGACTTCTGAAAGATTGATTGAAAATGGGAAAGGGTTAGTGCAGAGGCAGCTCATCTTGGAATATACTATCTTACACATCAAAAGAGCACAGATGAGAACATAGGAGACTGTAAAAGCCCTCAGTTGGGAGGAGTTAGATAAACACTCACCAATAACCTGCCTACGTTAAACCTTTTCCAGAATGCGTGAGTCTGAGAGATAAAGGGAGCTATAAAGGGCGAAGCTGCTTGCAGGGCACCAGACCAAGCTGCCCACAGCTCCTGAAAGGTCGTGGTCCGCGTTGGAAGAGGTGCTGTTAGAAGGAGTCAGTATGGAGCCTGAGGAGTACAGACGGAGAGGTGAGTGATCCTCTGCTCTTGGAAACAGGCAGCATTTGCTCACGAAGATGGACTGTTGCAGGGCTGGGAGTGGTACCCAGAACTGAGGATGGGCTGTGTACTCTTTAGTTGCACATGTGTCCTTGGAACTTAGGTCTGCTGGGGCTGAGACAAAAATGTGTCCCAGGGCTGAGTTTAAATTAATGGATATAGAGTCAGTGGATGACTTAGGCTTTTTGGTCTTACACTTAAAATACTGTGGGAAAGCTGCAAAACTGTGATGCTAAATAAACTTGTGCTAAGGGGTTATACACAGTGGCTCTTCCCCGGCTGACACCATGAAACTTCAGTGATAGCGGCACAGTTCTGGAGACGGGCAGCAAACTTTAGTCCCAGAGCTGGAGGAGATTGCCCAAAAAGTGGAGAAAAGGTGTGGAGCTGTGCAGCTGTTTTCAGAGGATGCAAAAGGGGGTATGCCATCATGACAGGGAGGCATGGGGCGTTATAAAAACTAATTGCTATGAAACATGGTTTCAGTGAATTTGTAGGCAAGAAAATCTGTCTATTCTCTCAGTAATCAAACAAACTGTACTTGTACCATGATTGTATTTTGAAGGTACATTTGAACTATTCAGTGAGGACACTGAAATGTTCCTGTGAATCTGTTCTGTCCCCATGAAGCCTGCTTTAGAAGCGGTGTCCCTACGTTATTAGATGGGACAGGAAGGGTGTAGGAAGGTTAGTTCCCGTGGCTATCCTGGGAGCAGTATTCTGAGCCACCTCCAATGCTAATGACAGATTGCATGAAGTTCTGGCAATGCTAGTTAGTTTTCCTGCAATTAAAGCTCAAAGCACTGGTTTGCCTCTTTTTTTTTTTTTTAATTTCTGGAGCAGTTTACTATTACACATCTTTGCACCATCTTGGTTGTTTTGGTTTTTGTGTTTGTTTTTTGTTTTTTTTTTTAAATTATAGTGCAGAAGACCTAACAAGATTCAGAGAGCTCTTCTTTTTATATATGACAAATAGATGTAGCTATTCAATTTAAAATTGTAGCTTTTTTATATTAGCCACCATAGGTCAACCATCTCATTCCTTCTTCTGTTACTTCTAACTGTACTCATCAGTTTTGGTCAAAAGTTTGTGAAAATTGCTGTCTGCCTTGACTAGGCTGTAAGCTTTCATTTTGTCAACTCCATGATGCTTCATTTATCAAAGGTTGTATTCTCCAGTTCATATTATTGAATTGTGCCTAATTGAATACTTTTTATTGTACAGTATGTGCTATATGTTATCCATATCTAATAACAATAATTACCACCTTTCATCACTTGCTTTCCCTGTCCCTAAGTTGTCACATTAAATATTTTTGGCCTTTGCACCTTTGTGGTCATTACAGATTATCATGACAGTTGCAATTTTGTTGCTGCATTTTTTTAAAATGTATAAATGTTACAATAAAAGCATTTCTTTTCTTCACACTTTTAAACATCTGCCTGAATTATTCATAAAGGAAATTACATTTCCTTAAGTATTTTAATAATTCTGTTAGGCGAAGGAAAAAGTATCTAGATTCGTTAAGGAATTAATTGACCTGTTCCTAATTACAGATAGTTGGTATAACAGTACAAACCGGAATTACCGGTTTCAATTATGTATTTCAAACATGTTTCTCAAATATTGAAGGAAGTTGATTTTGATGAGTTACTGTCTGTTACTCTTAAGTACAAGTTTTGACGACTTTGTCCCTGCCTGTACAACTGGAAATGCTCCTGCAGACTCTGCCTCTGCATTGGGGGCCAGGTTATTGCAGGAGCCGTATTGTGGTTCACAGGAGTATGGTGCTACCTCACTTCGGTAACAGGGACATTAAAGAAGTGCACATAAAGTCAGTTCACTTCAAACTTCATCACAGAAGGTGGTGTAGATACTTGAATTTGGAGGGAGAGGGACCCCTCCTCTTGTTAAAATACTTTTTTAATGTACAAAACTTTTATTGTTTGGTTTCTTTGGTGATTCATTCCTTTATTTCATTATAAAGAGTTGATTCCAGGCT